CTTTCTTGCCCTCGGAAGAGGGACGTGGCAGCGTCACACTGCTCACAGTAACTCCACCTCTTGGGCTTAGGTGATTCTCTTGCCTCAGTCTCCTGAGTAGCTGGGACTACAGGCGCCTGCCTCAACGCCTGGCTATTTTTTGGTTGCAGTTTGGCCAGGGCCAAGTTTGAACCTGCCACCCTCGATATATGGGGCCAGCACCCTACTCAGCCACAAGCGCCTCCTGATAATACGAATTTTTAAATATAGTATAACTATGTACACAGCATTTATATTATATGAGGTATTATATATTATATAAGATATAAGTAATCTAGAGCTGATTTAAGTATATTAGAGGATATGCCTGTGTTATATACAAATAACCAGGTCATTTTATATGAGGGACTTTAGCATTTTTGGATTTTGGCATCCTTGGAGTACTAGAACCAATCCCCTGAGGACACCAAGGAATAACTGTATTTCCTCTCCATCCACCATTCAATGCTTCTTTGAATGCCAGGTATTTAAGTATAACCTTTGGCAAATGATGTGAAAATCACCCCTCCCCTCCCACCATATTGCCCAACAGCTGAAAAAAACCATCACTAATGAAAGCAATGCTTAGGCCTGAATTATAGGTTGCAGAGCCTTGAGGAATCTAAAAGACATCCTATCCCAGAATGTGATGACTCAATTTCCCCAAAGAAGGGCCTGGAGGAAAAAAAAAACAGGGAGGGTGATGGGAATGGGGGATGGGTAGTGACCGCAACTGACCATTCAAGCAGATGGAGTTAAGAATCCCAGGTTTCAAAAGTCAAGCATTCTCCTCCTCCTCCACCATATTTATCACAATGGGGATCTCAAAGTTTGAAAAGTAATAGTCATTTACAGCATAATTACCCAAACTTCAAAATGGTCTAATCCACAAACCTAGCCAGCCTAGGTCCCTTACTCCCGCCTTATTAACAGTGGAGTTGCACTACCACTCCAGTTAATTACATAGTTAAACAATGAGATGGAAAATTCTACTGTGATCTATTAAAAAGTTGTTGCTCCCTTTAGTCTTGCATAGGGGGCTGGGTTGAGTCCCAAGATTTCACTAGAAGACAGTGGGGACTTTGGGTGAAATTGTTTACAGCACATGGACAGGTTCCACACCAAGGTACACTAGGTGGAATTGATTTAAGGCTCTCATTAAAACGTTTCTTTGTTGAGCACACCACACCCCCTCTACCCCTGAGGAGATTCCAGACCTCCTGTCCCCAGGCCTCAGCCTACCCTTACTTCCCCCACATGCCATCCCCTTTGCAAACCCATCACCAAATTAACATCAATTAACATCAGAGTCATCTTCTCATAGAAGGAATCTAGCATTTGTCAAATGAGAGCTTGTCTCTAGAAGAATCTCCCCTTGACTCCAGAATTCCAAACACCAGCAGAGAAGGCAGCCACTTCAATCAGACCCACACACCAAAACCCAACCAGACAACCCAGGAGGCCTGTGACCCATATGGCTGGGTCTCCATTCTGGCTGTGCAAAAAAACTTCCATACTTCTTCTGAGAGCAGATGCGGATTCTGCCATGAGCAATAACCACCACACACATATCACAAAAAACACAGAGCTACTCTAGAAACACCTCCTCCAAATCCCTACGGCATGTTCTTTTTCCTGGGTTACATTTGCCTCTCCTTTTACAACTGGGGGTGGGGAGATGTTGACTCCACCAGCGCCAAAACCCCTCAACAGCTGGCAGGCCAGGAAGATGTTAGAAAAGGCAGTTCCCTACCTCTGCCCTCCCAATTGCCACTCTTCAAAGGAGGGGGAAAGTGATAAGCTAGGACAGGTCCCTTGGACAAAGTTCCCCAAGAGAAACCTGCTTTGAGGACCAAAAGATTTTGTGTTTTGGAAGATGGAAGGCTCTATTTCCAGTCCGGGCTGTTTGGGATGTGCGGGTAGCTTGGCACTTCGACACCTCAGTGGAGACTCTTAGGTGTGACCAGGCCAGGAAATAAAAGCTGCGGGTGATTGAGGGCGGGGGTGGGGGTCCTGTCTGCCCTGGAGATGCAACCACACCCTCACCAAAACGCTGAGGCCCTCCAAGAAAAGCCAGAGTGAGCTCTTTCTGCCTTTCTTTCCTAAGAAAAAGAGACTTCCTTTCCTCTGTGAGTATAGACAGAATGGAAATCCAGGAAGGAGCAGAGTAAACCCCGTCCGCACCTTTGCAGGCCGGCCATGCCCGATTTTGGCAGCGGCCTTCACACATTAGTCACCACGACAGCCTGGGACCCTCCGTCTCCTAGAGTCCACCCAGGCACCAACTGGGCTCAGGCTCCGACTGTGAGCCTGAGGAGATAGGGCCGCCCCTAATTCTTCCCTTCTTCCTTCCCACTGGCTGGGCCATCTGTGGTCCCAGGTTTGCCCAGGAACTTGGAGGAGGGAAGCCGGGAGCGGACTAGGTAACAAAGCTCCGCGCTTTGCGCGCTGCAGGTCGGTGGAGCATCGGGCCCCAAGCCGACCACCTTCACCTGGACTGAGCCTGCCAGGGTGACTCCGTCTCTCTCACCGCACCCCCACCCCCAGGGCGGGTAATTGTTTCTCCACAGAAAACTCCCCACCTGGGCCTGGGAGCCGGCAACTCCCGGCCATTCTCGAGCAAACTCTCGGGTCAGGCCAGGAAAACTCCGCAGAGGCTGCAAACATATCCCCGCGGCGCGACTGGCAGAGGGACCCCGACCGAGTTTGTGGGGGCTTCGCCAGCCTCCCGGCCCTGGGGCTCCTGGCGCCCTTCCGCCGGGACCGTGCAAGCCCTGGGAGCCTCTCCAGGACACCAGGGTTTCTGCGCCCGCTCCAGCCATCCAAACTCACCTCCCCGGGTAGCCCCTTTTGCCCATAGGACTTCTCTGCTTCCCGAACCCTTCTCCCCCAGGTCGCCAGGACTCACCGCCCAGCAGCAGCAGCAGCAGGACGCTAAGCAGAGGCAGCCGGAGGAGGCTGGCCAGGGATCCCCGTGCAGCTCCCATCGCGGCGGGCTCGGGGAAATGAGCTGGAGGGCGCACCGCGGGCACGTAGACTGCGCTCCGCGGCCGGCCCAGGAGGGGCCCAGCACCCAGCCCGGGAGCTGCCGCAAAAGCCACAGCTAAAGCCCGAGCCCGAGCTCGAGCCCGAGACATCCAGAGCCAGAGACGCGCGGCGCCGCCGTCAAGCCCCGCCCCAAGACGCCCCCTCCCCGCAGGCCTCCGCGCGGCGCCCCGCCCCTCCGACGCCCCCTCCCCGCCGTGGCGGGAGGAGCTCAAAGTTGGAGGAGGGGTCTGGAGAAGGATGGGGAACAGCGGGAGGAAGGTTCCGGGAGTGGAAGGGACCTGAGCGAGCGAGGTAAGGGAGTATATACACAATGTGCCCACCTTCTAATCTACGGGGATCCAGGGAATGAAAGTGACTTTTGTGATTCCAAGGTCCCTAGGGAGTTTGGTCAGTTTTGGGCCTACCTGGAGGTTCCAGGGAGGAGGGAAGATAGGCCCTAGCCCATTCTTCAACCCCAAAACCCTAAGGGAGACTTTGAACAGCAGGGTGTCCTGGATGTCTCCAAGATAACATGTTACTGTGTAGCCCCAGGATAGATGTAGCCTGGAGAAGGAGGGGAAGAGTGCTTGGCTGGGGTCTGATTTCGCTCTGGACCAATCTGGACCCAAACGTAGAAACACTCGGCTTTGAAAGCCAGGCTGAGGCTGTTAAACTGACAAATTCATCCCAAGTCCATCTCCAGGCAGTCTGGGCTATGTCAGGGCATGGCCAACTCTCCAGCTGTGGGGAGGCCCAGCACATCCCTTGTTCCAGGCACCCCCCAGCCCCCAGCGCCACCACCCCCACATTCTTTCTTTGTTGTGAAAGCAGCAAGGGGTGTAGGAGGCGGGTCAGGAGGAGTCAAGCTTTAGAAGATGGGCCCCAGCTGCTGCTCAGGCCTCCAGGATACACTCAGAGGGGATGGATAGTGCCTTGTCTTCTTTCTGGCTCCAAAGGCGCCCCCCCCCCGCCCCCGCCGCTTAGACTTCCCTTCCCCCAAGCAGCTGGAAGGAGGAGGAGCAGCCACAGAGGGCCTCACAGCCAGCGAAGTGGCCGCAGGGACTCCAGGGTCCTGCCACATGGCCACCACATGTCCCTGACAACCCAATCCACAGCACCTTTTCCATGGATTGTGGGCCTCCTTCCCCATCCCCCAGATGCCTGCCTACAGGCTCTGCTGGAGAGGCTACAAACAAGGGGAGAAGAGAGGAAAGATCAAGCATCAACACTCCTCCTGTCCCCCCATCTATCACTGCCCCTTGCCCCTCTGTGAAGGGCCCACCACAACCCTTGCTTTCTACCCTCTTCAATCAGGACTCAAACAGCAGAAAGTTTACCTGATTCTTTTATTTAAGAAAAGTGAAATACATGGACCTGAAGTGAGGCAACAGAGGTGGGACCAGGAGAGGCCAGAGCAAGGCAGCTTGGCTGGCCAGCCCCCAACCCTCCGACAGAAAAGCCAACAGCAGGCTACATCTCTGAGGTGTATACTTGCTTCTTGCCCACCTTGGGAGCCTCAGAGCTAGCTACTCTAGAGGACCACAGGGTGAGGAGAGGGTATCCTGAGGGCTATTCCCTAAGGGGGATTCCTGAGGAGGGAGCTGAAACCCTAAAGGCAGCAGCAATCTTCTGGTTAAACTGTTCCCCCTTCCCTGTCCCACCTTCAGGTGGGAAAGAGCCAGGAGCAATGGGGAATGCTGTGAGGACAATGGGGGGACCCAGCAGACCTGGGGGATGGGTTGAATGTCAGCTGCTTGAAGAGAGGTCCAAAGTGCTGGCACTGAGGCCCCTGGAGACCTGAAACAGACACCATCATCCCATTAGCCCAGGGACCTCAGCCTCCCAAAGACTGCCCATCTATCCCATGGCCACAGTCTATCTGTGGATCTAGGATGGGGCCCATAACCTAAACTCTCAAGTCCTAGGGCTTTTTTTTTTTCCGAGACAAAGTCTCACTATGTCATCCTCAATAGAGTGCCATAGTGTCACAGCTCACAGCAGCCTCAAATTCTTGGGTTTAAGTGATTCTCTTACCTCAGCCTCCCAAGTAGCTGGAACTACAGGTGCCTTCCACAATGCCCAGTTATTTTTTTGTTGTAGTTGTCATTGTTATTTAGCAGATCCAGGCTGGATTTGAACCCACCAGCCCTGTGCATGTGGCCGGCGCCCTAACCACTAAGCAATGAACACAGAGCCCTTAGGGCTTTTGTTTAGTAGCCTCTGCTAGGATTTTCCAGAAGTCTACAGTCTAGTGGAGAAACTACCTGGAAGAGCCACATAAATACCTTGAATGAATAGACTTGAATATACTTTGAATGTGTTGCTAAAAATGGTCATTTGTTATTAAAATACCATTAAATTGGCTCAGCTCCTGTGGCTCAAGTGGCTAAGGTGCCAGCCACATACACCTAAGGTGGCGGGTTCGAATCCAGTCCGGGCCCACCAAACAACAATAATGGCTGCAACCAAAAAATGGCCAGGCGTTGTGGCCCTGCACCTGTAGTCCCAGCTACTTGGGAGGCTGAGGCAGGAGACTCGCTTGAGCCCAGGAGTTGGAGGTTGCTGTGAGCAGTGAAGCCATGGCACTCTACCCAGGGGACAGCTTGAGGCTCTGTCTCAAAAAAAAAAAAAATACCATTAAATTTATACCATTTGCTATCAAAATCTACCATTTTTCCAAATGGAGATTCAGTATCTTTTTTCCTTTTTACCTTCTCATCTACTACTAAGTCCCCAAGGTAAGAAGTAAAGAGGCTGCAGGAGAAAAAAGTTAGTACCCCCAAATCATTCTTTTTTTTTGTTCCAGAAATTAGTTCTCCCTCCATTGCCCAGGCTAGAGTGCAGTGGCAAGATCATAGTTCATTGTAACCTCAAACTCCTAGGCTCAAGTGATCCTCCTACCTCAGCCTTCAAGTAGCTCAGACTACAGGCATACACCACCACATGTGACAATTTCTTTTCATTTTTTTATACAGACAAGGTCTACTATGTTGCCCAGGCTGGTCTTGAAATCCTGGGCTCAAGTGATCTTTCTACCTTGGCATCCTAAAGTACTGAGATTATAGAAATGAGCCACCATGCCCTGCCCAAAATTATTCTTGAATTATTCATAATTCCAAAGTATCAGTTACTATCATGTTTCTCCAAAAATAAGACCTACCCCCAAAATAAGCCCTAGCACGATTTCTATGCATGTGTTAAATATAAGCCCTACCCCAATAAGATTTAGCGGTAAGGAAGACTAAAATACCTTTTATCTGCCATAGCTCCCTCTCCTAGCCGTTCGCACTTGCACAGGTGTGCATGTGGTAACCGCAGTCACAGGCATCCTATTGCGCATGTGTGAACGGCTAGGGGAAAGGAGTTTATGCAAGCCCCAACAACAAGGTCAGCTCCCCCTGTCAGGTTCCAGAAGAAGATGACTTAACTGTATTTGAATAAATGTAGATTGTTATATTATACTTAATAAAAATAAGACATCCCCTGAAAATAAGCCCTAGTGTGTCTTCTTGAGAAAAAAATAAACGTAAGACAGTGTCTTATTTTCGGGGAAACACGGTATTCCCCTCCTAACTTATTTGCTATAACATCTAGCCTAAAACTGTCCATTGGTGGTGACTACCCCAACAAGCTCTCTGCCTGTTTCCTTAATGACTCTAATTCCCTTTCATCCAGGATGACTTTCTCCTCTTCCCTAATTCCCACTAGGTTTGCTTGCTGGCTATCCTTTCTTTCTAACCCACCAATACGCTCACAAGCACTGCTCTCACCTGGAGGGGTGCTGTACTGGGCTGATTCAAATAGTTCAAGGAGGCTGCTCGCTTCATGTTGCTGCTGGAATGGAAAAATAAAGAATTAAGGCCTCCTCTCTTATTGCTGAATGGCCCTGAGATTGTAGGCCTCTTGGGCATTGCCCCACAATGTCAAATCGCTGTCTACCTCCTCTCCCACTCTTACCTGTATCAGGGACCAGCATCTTCTCAGGAACCTTCAACCCCCCCATGCCACACTGGGTCATCCATCCTACCCAAACTCTCTCTCCATGGCCATCCCATTGACCTCCATGTTTCTCTCCAAGATACTTCTCCTCCAGAATTCAGGGGCCAAAAGGAATTGGAGTCAAGGGTTTACTTGCCTGCTTTGCCACATCTCAACCCCACTGTGTACCTGGAGGGCCGAGGATCAGTCCCCTGGAGCTTCCTCACCAGGAGTTCACTGCTTCTACGAAGCACATCCCGGATCTTGCCCAGAGAGCCACTCCTCTGCAAGGTGCCACTGCCATCCTAGCAGAGAGGAATGAGTAATAGAAGCTAAGGGGATCCCATAAAGACTGGCTTCTGAGTCTACTGCCATTTCTTCTGCACACATCCCCCAACCTCAAAACCCAGTGATTGAAAACAAGAGCCCTGTCAAAAGCTGGCTCCCAGAGATAACCCTGAAGGGATAGACGGTCTAACTAGAACAGGGACAACATGCCCTCACACTCTACCTGAGCCCAGAGAAAGGCAAGCTCAGAGCCTCTCACCACCAGCAGCAGGTAATCAAGAGGCAATGATTACACTTACCCCTGACCACTCCACAGCCACAGAAGCATCTTCACCTCCCTCAAATTTCACACTATCCCCAGCACCTTCCTGGGAAGTCCTTCTACTGTCACCTTCCCCAAGCAGCTCTGCCACCTTGGTCTGGCTGATAGGGTCAGTTCCCTGAAAAGAAAAAGAAGCACCTAGAACTTCCTACTGCTTAGTTCCTCAGAATGGGCTTTCAAATTTTATTTTTACCATCAATTACTGCAAAGAAAACATTTTGTCCTTATGATGTCCAATATATACCTACAGGAATAATACCTTTCTATTTGCAATGCAAATAGATACATATATATTTTTAGCCACATTAACCCCACACTGAATTAATATCATGACCTACTAATGAGAACCACAATTTAAGAAACTTTGACTTAGGGCTATCCTCAGTCTCAGTCTCATTCCCCTCATTCCCCTTACTCCATACCACCCATCCCACTTCTTATTAAAGGGCAGTGTTTCCTCTTTATAATCCCATTTAGTAAAGGGAACCTTGAACTTGGAATCCTAACTACAAAAAGTAGGTAGAAGAGAAGAGCATTCTTAAAAACAACCACAACCAGCCAGGCACGGTGGCTCATGCCTGTAATCCTAGCACTCTGGGAGGTGGTGGCACGTAGATTGCTTGAGCTCAGGAGTTCAAGACCAGCCTAAGCAAAAGCAAGTCCCCATCTCTACTAAAAATAGAAAAACTGGGGCAGTGCCTGTGGCTCACTGAGTAGGGACCCATATACTGAGGGTATCGGGTTTGAACCCAGCCCAGGCCAAACTGCAATAAAAAAATAGCCAGGCATTGTGGTGGGCACCTGTAGTTTCAACTACTCGGAGGCCAAAGCAAGAGAATTGCCTAAGGCCAGGAGCTGAGGCAAGAAAATCACTGGAGCCCAAGAGTTGGAGCTTGCTGTGAGCTGTGTGACGCCACAGCACTCTACCAAGAGTGACAAAATGAGACTCTGTCTCTTAAAGAAAAAAAAAAATAGAAAAACTTAGGCAAGAGGATCGCTTGAGCTTGAATTAGAGGTTGCTGTGAGCTATGAAGCCATAGCACTCTACCCAGGGGGACAGCTTGAGACTCTGTCTCAAAAAAAAAAAAAAAAAAAACCCACAACCACAAGACTGCCTCACTTTCTTCTCTCCACTGTCTTTGTTAGTCTCTCTTATTCTTTTTTTTTTGAGACAGAATCTCACTTTGTTGCCCCTAGTAGAGTTCCATGGCATCATAGCTCACAGCAACATCCAACTCTTGGGCTCCAGTGATTTTCTTGCCTCAGCCTCCTGAGTAGCTGGGACCATAAGCGGCTGCCATGATGCCTGTTTATTTTTAGAGACGGGGAATCGCTCTTGCTTAGGCTGGTTTCAAACCAGTGAGCTTAGGCAATCCACCCTCCTTGGCCTCCAGAGTGCTAGGATTACAGGACTAAGCCACTGCACCCAGCTTTTTCTTTTCTTTTCTTTCTTTTTTTTTTTTTTTTGATACGAAGTCCCACTTTGTTGCCCTTGGTAGAGTGCCGTGGCAGTTTCTTTTTGTTTTTAATTTTCTTTTTTCTTTTTTTTTTTTTTTTTGAGACAGAGCCTCAAGCTGTTGCCCTGGGTAGAGTGCCGTGGCATTACAGCTCACAGCAACCTCCAATTCCTGGGCTCAAGCAATTCTCCTGCCTACGCCTCCCCAGTAGCTGGGACCACAGGCACCTGCCACAACACCCAACTATTTTTTGGTTGTAGTTGGCATTGTTGTTTGGCAGGCCCGGGCTGAATTCGAACCTGCCAGCTCAGGTGTACGTGGCTAGTGCCTTATCTGCTTGAGCCACAGGTGCCGAGCCTAATTTTCTTTTTTTTAATACAGAGTCTCACTTTGTTGCCCTCAGTAGAGTGTCGTGATATCGTTTTTTGTTTGTTTGTTTGTTTTGTTTTTAATTTTTTGAGCCAGCATCTCTGTCAGCCAGGATAGAGTGTGGTGATTCAGTATACGCAAACTCAAATTCCTAGGCTCAAGTAATGCTCCTGCCTCAGCCTCCCAAGTAGCTGGGACTACAGGTGCATACCACCATGCTTGGCTAATTTTTCATTTTTTGTAGAGACAGAGTCTAGATAGCATATCTTGCCCAGGCTGGTCTTGAACCCCTGGGCTCAACAGACTCTCCTGCCTTCGCCTCCCAAAGTGCTGGGATTATAGGCATGAGCCACCACACTTGGCCTCTTATTCATAGGATGCTCACAAGAAGCCTCAGTGGTTCCTTGTCCCCAGGACCCTTTCTTCTTGGACCTCCTTCCCCTCCAGATTTCTGACCTGTTTCCAGGAACGCAGGGCACATTCTTCCAGGGTCTCAGCTGCCTCCAGCTTTCCCTGGCGTCTGTACAGAGCTCCTAGGTTTCTCAGTGTAGTGTTCACTGTAGGGCTGTGAGAGGTAAGACCAAGAAAGGAAGAGAGAACAAGGTAAGGCCAAAAAAAAACCAGGAGAGAGAGGGAGCAGAGCTAAGGTCAAGAGAAGGTCAAGGGAAGAAGGCAAAAGGTCCAGGAGGATGGATTAGGGCTTAGATGGAGGGCATTGGAGGCCAAGCCAGCTTTTCACTGGCAGCTTACCTGCTCACTTTGCAGGCCTTATACCAGCCTCCATACTCAGCATAGGGTGTATTGCCCTCTCTGTGGTGCCGGCTCTGTATGGGCAAGGGGAGGGGGAGTCAGAGATGCTAGGTATAAGATGCTGTGGGGTTAGGGTACAGGCTGGGTTGGGAAAGGCACCATGCATCTGGAACTGGTGCTAGGTGAGAAGAGAGAAGCTGGGCTAATGCAAAGAAGACAGAAACCCCAGTAGCATTAGGCTATCTACTCACTTTGCTCATTTCTTCCCGCTCCTCTGCATGCATCCAGATGGGCTTGTGATCATCTAGGGGTGACATATGGAGTGAGATAGGGAGGTTAGAGAATGGCCCTGGACAGCATAGGGGAAATCAGGACCCAGACACTGATAAGGCTGAACTAAAGGGGTCTGGCTCCCCCTAGTAATCATGTGGTAAACCCCCTACCTTTAGTCTGTATTTCTTTTTCTCCCTGTAGGCCCCTCCTAGGGCTCTCACCACTCACCATCCACAGATCCAAACTCCTGCACATGGGCACGGGTCAGGATCTCTTTGTATAGTATCTCAGCCTCAGCATACTTGCCCTGTTTCAGGTAACAGGAAGCCTGGGAGGCAGGAAGACAAAAATACAAAAGGAAGAGATGGAAGGAGACAAGGTCTTAGCCAGGCTCAGGGCATTGTACTTCTTGGTGTCTCTATGACTTTCCCCAGAGATCCTCCTGACACCTTCTTTTCTATCCACAGCATCAAGGGTATTCTCGCCCTACTACCAAGGGGCTATGGAACTGCCACTGAAATGAAGCAGATCCTTCATCCTCAACCCAAAGAGATTGGTACAAAGTTGATGAGAACAGTGTACCAGATCATGATGCTTCCTAATTCCAGGACCCAATTGGTGGGCTTTTCCCTTTTCTACCTTCCACCTACTTTGTCCCTTTTTCCTTACCAGGTTGTTCTTGGTCCGGGCTACATTAGGGTTGTCTGGCCCCAGCTGCACCTCATAGATGGCCAGTGCCCGCTGGTAATAACGTTCCACAGCCTCATACTTGCCCTGGTTTTGGCACAATAGAGCCAGATTGTTTAGCTGCTTTGCCACATCTGGGTGGTCAGTACCCAGGACCTGAAAGGGAGCAAAGGAGTGGACAGATGGCTATGATTACATGTGTGCACATGCACATGTGGGAATGCATGTTCACAGGGATGCATTTCACAGGGATGTGAAAGTAGAGAGCAGAAGGAAAGGAATGATGGAAAGGGGAAGGAGACAGAGATAGGAGAATGAGAAAAAAAGAAGTGAGGGAGAAAGCTCAGACGTGAGGAGAGATGTGGAAAACAGGTAATAGAAACACAGGAAGAGTGAAGAGAGGGCAAAAGTACCTTTTCTCGAATTTCCAGAGCCCTCTGGCACAATGGCTCTGCCTCCTTGTATTTGCCCCTTTTGCCATAGAGCACAGCCAGATTGTTGAGTGTGGCAGCCACCTATGAAGAGAGGCCTATCAGACGCTGATACTGCAAAGGACCTATGAGAAACTGAGGTCTCCCTACTTGCCCAGCAGGTCCTGGTACTGCACAACTGCAAGACACTTTCTCCCTTACCATAGCCAGAAGCTGAGGGGAGGAGAAACTGCTGAACAGGATGGCTCTAAGGTTCAATGGGGTAGTATCGCCCTCTAGGGGGATTTATAAATTTCTGAAGGTGTTTTTTTGGTTGCCATAAAGATTGGGGGCACTATTACCTTTGGGGAGGCAAGAACAGATGTTCTACATATGTGGGACAGCTCTGCCAATTTTAGAATGTTCTGCCAGACATTCAAACACTGATGTAAACTTTGACATTTGGTAGGACGTCAAAATAGGAGTTATGTTTTCTGATATACATCATCCCTGCCCGTCACATCATATAATAGAATTATTTTCACTTAGCTCATTTTTTAAAATATCTGATTTTTCCTTTTCTCTACTGGACAGTCTATCATTTACCTTGACATGTTATGCCTAGTTAAGGCTACCTGTCTCTTAATCTTATATTCAAATAAATCTGTGCTAACTTAATATAACACTGAATTTTAATTAAGCATCTACCAATAACTTCTGCTCTTTATTTCTCCAGCACTTAAAAAAATTTTCTTAGGGCTCGGTGCCTGTAGCTCAGTAGCTAGGGCACCGGCCACATACACCAAAGCTGGCAGGTTTGAACTCAGCCCAGGCCTGCCAAACAACAATGACAACTACAACAAACAAATAGCCGGGCGTTGTGGTGGGTGCCTGTAGTCCCAGCTACTTTGGAGGCTGAGGCAAGAGAATTGCTTAAGCCCAAGAGTTTGAGATTGCTGTGAGCTGTGACACCACAGCACTCTACCAAGGGCAACATAGTGAGACTCTCTCAAAAAAAATTTTTTTCTTTTCTAGGCTGGGTACAGTGGCTCATGCCTGTAATCCTAGACTCTGGGAGGTGGAGGTGGGTGGATTGCTGGAGCTCACAAGTTCCAGACCAGCCTGAGCAAGAGTGAGACTCCATCTCTACTAAAAATAGAAAAACTAGGGTGGTGCCTGTGGCTCAGTAGGACTGAGGGTGGCAGGTTTGAACCTGGCCCCAGCCAAACTGCAACCAAAAAATAGCTGGGTGCTGTGGCAGGTGCCTATAGTCCCAGCTACTTGGGAGGCTTAGGCAAGAGAATTGCCTAAGCCTAGGAGTTGGAGGTTGCTGTAAGTTGTGACACCATGGTACTCTACCAAGGACGATAAAGTGAGACTCTGTCTCAAAAAAAAAAGGAAAAACTAGCCAGGTATTGTGTGGGTACCTGTAGTCCCAGCTATATAGAAGGCTGAAGCAAGAGGATTGCTTGAGCCCAGGAGTTTGAGGTTGCTGTGAGCTATGATGCCATGGTACTCCAGCCTGGGGCAACAGAGTGAGACATTGTCTCAAAAAAAAATTTTTTTTTTAAGAGATAGGATCTTGCTATGCTGCCCAGGCTGGTCTCGAACTCTTGGGCTCAAGTGATCCTCCTACCTCAGCCTCCCGAGTAGCTGGGACTATGAGTGCAAGCCACCATGCCCAACTCTTACATATAATTCTTATATGGAATGGCTTACTGGTCTTACTTCTTTTAAATCCAAATTTCATCTATTTTTTTTTTTTTTTT